AAAAAAAAATGCTGGAGAGGATATATGGAGAAAAAGGAAGCTCTTGTGGGATGGTAATACAACCACTATGGAAATCAATGTGGAAGCTCCTCAAAAWACTAGGAATAGAACTTCTTGTATTTATCCTAAAGAATTAAAGTTATCATACTATAGGATACATGCATACCCATATTTATAGCAGCATAATGTACAATAGCCAAACTATGGATCCAGCTTAGGAATCCTTCAATGGCTTACTGGATAAAGAAAATATGGTAACTATGGAGTTATGTTCAGCCATGAAGAAAACTTAATTACATCATTTTCAGGAAAATGGATGGAACTTAAGAACATCAGTTTAGGGAATATGCCAATTTCAGATGGTCAAGGGTCATATTTTTTCTCTTATATGGAAATTAGAGAGGAAAAGGTGTATTTTCTCCAAAAATAATTTTATGAAGTGAAACTTGGATGTGGAGGGAGGAGAGGAAACTTTACTGGTATCTTGCCAGTATGAAGTGTCTGATGTAGATTGAGTTGTAAGCCATGATTAAAGACCTTGACACATTCATAAGGTTTCTTTCCAGAATGCATTCTCTGATGATGCAAGAAGCTGGAGTGATAGCTAAAGGTCTTCCCACATTCCTTACATTCATAGGGTTTTTCACCAGTGTGAATTCTCTGATGTTGAATAAGGTGTGAATGAAGTCTAAAGGTTTTACCACATATCATACATTCACGGGGTTTCTCATGAGTATGAATTTGTTGATGTCTTTTGAGGTGTGAACACTGTCTAAAAGTCTTCCCACATTCCTTACACTCATAGGGTTTCTCACCAGTATGAATTCGCTGATGTAGGTTAAGTTTTAAGCCAATTATGAAAGGCCTTTCCACATTCACTACATTCATAAGGCTTCTGACCAGAATTAATCTTCTGATGGTGAGAGTAGCTTGAGTAATAGCTAAAGGCTTTCCCACATTCCCTGCATTCATAGGATTTCTCACCCATAAGAATTCTCTGATGTATGGTAAGGTGTGAGCGATGCCTAAAAGTCTTTCCACACTCTTTATATTCATAAGGATTCTCACCAGTATGGAATGGCAGATGTTCAGTAAGTTGAAAGCCACGAATAAAAGCTTTCTCACATTGCTCACATTCATAGTGTTTCTCACCAGTATGAAGTCTCCGATGTTGAGTCAGTTGTGATCTCTGTCTAAAGGCCTTCCTACATTCCTAACATTCATAGGGTTTCTCACCAATGTGAATTCTCTGATGTAACATTAGTTCTGAGCCATAATTAAAAGCCTTTCCACATTCTCTACATTCTTAGCGTTTTTCACCATTATTAATTCTCAAATGTTTTTTAAGTTGTGAACAATGAATTMAGGTCTTCCAGCATTCCTTACATCCATTGCATTGGTTACCATATTGAATTATCTGTTGTTTAATAAGGAACGGGGGATTAATAATTTCTGTGTACTCCTTACATTCAGAAAGTTCTTTAGAATGATTTTTGTGTTGACAAAAGAATAAATGATAATAAGTTTTTTCTACATTTTTCACATTCAGAGATTTTCTTTCCATTTTGAGTAAGTAAAGTATGTTGAATAAAAATGGGCACGTTTTCATGGTTCATCATAAATTGCCTGAAATAACACTCCTTTTGCTCAAAATGACATTTGCATTCCCAAATATCTCTGAAAATGGATCCCTCAGGAATAAAATTTTCCACGATAGCCCATGGGGATGATTCTATTTCATAAATGTCCCTTTTTGGAGATAACTTCTTGGGGTCAGCTTTCGATGCCAAGTCTGAAAGAAAAGAAATATATTTTAATTCCTAGTTTTGTATACAATAGAAATATACTAAGTTAATTAAGGGAGTAATAAATTCAATAGTGCTGAAAAAATGYTTTTTGGTACTAGGGATTGAATCAGGGGTGCTCCACCACTGAGCTATAATCCCAGCCCTTTTTATTTTTTGAGACAGAGTCTTGCTAAATTCTTAGGGCCTAARTTGCTGAGGCTGGCTTTAAACTCCCAATCCTCCTGCCTGCAGAGTCACTGGGATTATGGCATGCATCAYTGTACCCAGCAATAGTCCTAAAATTTTGATCTGCTTTGGAATCAATCACTGAATGTAATTATGTTATATTTAGGAAACATTCTAGACCAACCAAATCAAAATCTAAGAATGTTGATCATAGTATGAGATTAACTAAATGAGAATCCACAAGAGTATGTTTAATGTTCCCCACCAACCCAAAGGCTATGTGGCAACTGCAAGTTGTTCCCAAATTTCTGTTCTTCCCTTTTTGAAAATATCAATGAACTCATGTTTACATAGTTGAGAACAAATCTCCTCATTATAAACCTGCATTTCTCAAACTCTTTTGCAGCTTGGTGTGCCATGTAACTGGGTTCTCCCTAAAGAAATCCAGATTTATTATATAGTAACTTCTGAGAACTTCTCCTCAGATCCAGATGACCCAAGCCCTAATTGCTAATTCTCCCTCTTCAATTTTTAAATTTGTTCTTTTTAAATATACATGACAGTAGAAAGTATTTTGACATTTTATACATACATGGAGTATAACTTATTCCTATTAGGATCTTATTCTTGTGGTTGTACATGATGTATTCAAATGTGAACTTAGGAAAGTTATGTCTGATTCATTCTATTGTCTTTCCTATTCCAAYCTCTCCTCCCTTCCCTTTATTCTCCTTTGTCTAGTCCATTGAACTATTCTCCCTGTGCCCTGCCCCATTGTTGTGTGTTAGCATCTTCATCTCAGAGAGATCATTCGACCTTTGGTATTTGGGGATTCACTTATTTCACTTAGTATAATAATCTCTAGTTCCATCCATATATTGATGAAAGTCATATAGCATTCTTTTTTAATGAATGAATAATATTCCATTGTGTGTATATATATCACATTTTCTTTATCCATTCATCTGTTGAAGGGCACACAGGTTGGTTCTATAGCTTAGCTACTTTGGATTGAGGTGCTATAAACATTGATGTGGCTGCATTACTGTGGTATGCTGATTTTAACTCCTTGCTTATAAATTGAGGAGTAGGATAACTGGGTTAAACGGTGGTTCCATTCCAAGTTTTCTGAGGAATCTTCACACTGCTTTCCTGAGTGTTCACAGTAAATTATAGTSYCACTAGCAATGTATGAGCATACCTTTTTCTCCACATCCTTGCCAACATTGTTACTTACATTCTTGATAATTGCCATTCTGACTGGAGTGAGATGGAATCTCAGTTAATTTGCATTTCTCTAATTGCTAGAGATGAAAAATTTTTCATATATTTGTTGACCATTCTTCTTGAAGTACCTGTTCAGCTGCTTTGCCAATTTTTTTATTGGATTATTTGTTTTATTTTTATTTGGGGGGGATTATGTTTTTGTGTTCTTTATAGATCCTGGAGATTAATGCTCTATGTGAGGTGCAGGTGGCAAAATTTTTCTTTCATTCTGTAGGTTCCCTCTTCATGCACTTGTTTAAGGATAGACAATCAAGATATAACTAATAAGTATTCAATAGCCAACTGCTGAGTATGTGTGTGTGTGTGTGTGTGTGTGTGTGTGTGTGTGTGTATATAAGGTGCAGATGGACACAATGACTTGACTTTATTTTTTTTAATGTGGTGACAGAGATCAAATCCAATGCCTCATGTGTGCTAGGCAAGTGCTCTACCATTGAGCCACAACCCCAGCCCCTGCTGAGTATATATTTAAAGAAGTAGGATTGAGAGGGGGAAATGCAAAACAAGTCAAAGATAATAAACTGTTAAGAACTGTAATAATTTAAAACCCTTAAATTTGCAATAACTCCTTAACACGTCCCATAATTTTCCTCATCCCTACATCTACTGGAATATTTGGTAGATATTTTACACACACACACACACACACACACACACGAGTATTTAATAACAGATATTTTATACACATACACACACACACACAATCCACTATAATTTAGTGGATTAAACCAGTACCAATAACTTATCTTTCAGATTTGAGCTCAGTCAGCCATCCCTTACTTGGAGTTTCTTCAGTGGTAGTCAGATAGTGGTCAGGCCAAATCATTTCAACAGCTTCCTCACTCACATGTCTGGTTCTTAGCTTGAAAAGTATGAGAAGCTGGGGATTAGAAGAGCTAAGTCTGTTGAGACCCTCTTACATGGCAGCTCAAGCCTCCAAAAACATGTGGAGAGACACAGGAGGGAGAGTGTGAACATATGCCAGGCACAAGCTGACTACCTTTATGACTTAGCCTTTGAAGTCACAAAGTAGCTGCATTCTATCTGTTAGACACAAGTAATTCTGGGATGTCCCATTTTCAAAGGATGGTTAAGAATGTCACAGAATTTTTTAAAAGATGTATTTATTTATTTTAAATAATTTTAGTTGTAAATGGATACAATAGATTTATTTTATTTATTTGTTTTTACGTTGTGCAGAGGATCAGAACCATTGCCTAACATGGCTAGGCTACCACTGAGGTACAG